CGTAGTTCAGATTATTATTAGTGGTCATTCAACTTTTAATTTCTCATAAATTATCCACAGAATTTTTATTTCTAATAACATACCGTTTTAGACAACAACAACTACCTGTAAATTAAATAACCATTTAAGTTGAGTTTTGATATCCAGCTGTAAATTAGACAGCAAAACCTGTATTTAAATTTGGTGATTTACTCTTATGTAAATGTGCATGTATTTTCCAGCTAAATAAATTGGGATAATGTAATTCAGAACAACCAGAGCTACTGTTATCCGTAAGATGGCATTTTTGTTCATTCTTTATTTCTTCCTGCTCCTCCCTGCCCATCCGCAGTAGCTGGAGGATTTGCAACAATAAGCAACAACTTGAGGACACCCACTCCCAGAAGCCTACTCTCAGTGAACTTTCATGCTGCTGTTTCTGTCTCTTCACTTCCTGTTATGTATCCTCATTATAAGCCCGCTATACACACGTGTAGAAAACTAAAACCCCTACAATACCCATAAATTCCATTCCTCTGTTTGTCCCCCCCCCCCCTCCAGGCGAGTGTGTACTTCAGAGAGCTGTTATGGTGAGGAAGAAGTTGACTGCCAGGGAAGGAAGAGGTTGGCTATCTGGGACCCTCTTCTGTACACACTTCAGAGTGGCCTTCGTGCCCCAGGACAGTCCCAAACCTGACGTGAGTCCCTCTGAACAGCTGTACTGATTAAATACTCATACTTATATTTCATTATGGTTGAATAATGTGTTGTTATTGTGTTTTTTAAGGAGAGCATTTAACATACTGCAAAAACTGTGATGACAGGAGCTAAAATGTGTTTGTTGTTATGTGTATATTTTCTTTAAACACCATTCGTGACGCAGGACAATGCAGACCCTGTGCTTTTAGGAGATCACGATGTGGCTTTGGCGTCTATAGAGAAGGTTGTGGTTGGTAAGTAAAACCTCATGCCCACAATTTTACTCACGGCCAGTAAAAAGTATTTTAATTAATGCTATGACTGTAGATTTATTGACTAGTATTACTTTTATGTGGCGCTCCCTGTTTGTGTGTGTGTCCAGTCACAGAGTATACTGTATACTATGCCCTTAGCTATGATATTGTTAATGCTACAGCTAAAAGGTGCACCTCTTTATCAGTAATAAAGTGAAGATACTAACGGCATAGCTATATACATATTGCATATTTACATATTGTTTGTATAAAAAATGGCTTTGGTATAACTTCTGACTGATTGCTTATATTGTCTTTAAATTGGTTTGGATCTAAGAAGGTCGTAAAGTTGTGATCTTTTAAGATTTCAGTCCTGGTTGATTTGGTGACATGTGGTTACCGAGGTAACATCAATTTATTTGTTTGTTGCAGTTCTTCTTCTAAGACGTTATTCTGGCTTCTTATTCTGTTACTTCTTTGGAAAAATTAGAAATGATTGAAAAATGTTGAAAAGCTATGATGATTTTTGATGAGCAATCGCAGCAGACACTAACCTCAGTGACCAATATATGCCGTTTCCTGTGGCTGCTTCATAGGAAAAGCCATTTGAATGCTTTTAATGTGAAGCAGCAGCCGTAACAAATGTTTGGTTTGCATTAATAATAACTTAATACAGCCCTAAAATGGCTGTAGGCAAGTGAACAGTGAGGCTGTTACCGATGAGATAAAATTGTGCTGGAACACTAAAACTGCTAATGTATATAGTGAGGTGTTTACTGAATAAAAATATTGGCTGACAAATGCTGACCATAAATAGTATCAAAAGTGGGCTTAGACTTCATGACATCAGGATTATAATTTAAAACTTAAGTGGCATAATAGCCCAAACAAGGTGTTATAATTCAAGTAATAAAATAACTGCCCTCATCATTACTAAGATGGGATAATGCAAAAATAAGATGTTTAAATAACACATACTGTATGTTAGAATGAGCAGGTTGTAGGTTCTCTGTAAAGTTAATTTCAGTGGAGCCCACGCAGGTCTAACCCACATAGTGTAAGTATGTACATAACCTATACTCTAGGGTGTTTTGGCTCTTGACCCATTTGTCTGTTTAATGTTTAATTAGGCCTTTTCTCCCCCTTACGTTGCAGTGGGCCCAAACAGGACCAAGCTGGTGACCCCAAACTCCTCGCTAAAGTTCACTCCAGAGGAGCTGGTGCTTTACTGTAGGGACCTGCGAGTCATCTGCTTCCTGTTTGACCGCCTCACTCCTGATGCACAAGTCATAGAGGTGTGTGTGTGCATCTTCTGATTTTAGGAATTTTGTGATCTCATTTTAGGCATGAATAGGTCTATTCTTGGTTTATATGCTGAACTTGTGTGTGCACACCCCAAAAATAGGATTTTTCAAATAACCACTTTTTTTTTTTTTACAGCCTTTAAAATTACTTTTTATAGATTTGTTATTAAGTTATTTCATGCAGTTGTTGTTTTTCTACTTTTTAATCAAGTTTATTTGCTTGCTCTTTCTAATCTGTGGACTTCGGTGTACCTTCTGTTTTATGACTTTTTATAAGCAGTGACTAAATTCTTCTCCTAGAGATTTGTGCACTGTGGTTGGTAAATATTTACATGCAACTGCATATTTCTGTGCATGTGTGAGTGTTGGCTTACTTTCAAGGCTCTGGTTTCTGTCATACTGTCATCAGTCATTTCAGAGACTAAATACTTCTAGGTAGAGAAGCTGATCTGTACCATAGAACAAGGATCTGACTCTGCATATCTGGATGGCATTGTTGTTGAAAGCTGATGACCTTTGTCATGTTGATGGGCTTACTGTGGTTTCCCTCCTCAGATAACTTACACCATCGCCAAGACCTACCAGCCTCCAAAACCAGGGTCGGTTTTATCTTTCCAGAACGCTGCCCTTGGGAGTGTAGGTGAGTAGATTAATGTATGCACTCTCATGTATACAACCATCCATTCCCTTCCTGGCGCTGAAACAATACCTTATTAGTCTGTCAGTTTGTCTACTGCAGTATTAGGTTCCCAAGAACACATAGGGATAGTTCCGTACAGCTAACATATTTTTTGGTTGTATGTATATTGCTTTGGTATGTATTGCTTTGGTATGTACTCACGATAATAACAGTATTCTGTGCATTTACACAGATATTGATATACTGACTAATGTCCTGTAAAGTGCAGACGTTAATATAATTCAGACCTAAACCAAACAATCTTGATATATTCCAGAGATGCCTTGGAAAATTAATTATCATTTGGTCACTATATCCTTATGTGGTTGTCTGTTTGAATGTTGATGGCATGAAAATAATTAAGAGTCAATGACCTGAAGACTTTATCAGTAAATCTCTTAACATTCTTATTTTCATTATTATCAGTCAATCATCTATCATTATCTTTTTTCTGTGTGTTATGTTTCACTGTGATAAATATTCACAGAAATAACAGCTCACTGAGAGTGAGAAATGCAAATGCCCACATGAATCAGAAACACAGCATCTATGTGTTAGTCATGTGCTGTACTTGCTTTCTGAAGCCTTTAAAAGTTTTCTCTTGGTGTGCCTTCATCAAATCTGTTCTCACTTTGGTTTTCAGCCACTCTAGCTCCAGGGACATAATGTACCCAAAACAATTTGTAATTTACCGATGACTTAGACTCTGTTTCATCTATTTTTGATTCTGTTTATTTCTACTTCCTTTTGTACCATTAGAATGTGATGTTACAACTCTTAAGAGAATATTAAAGAGGAAACATAATGGTTTCTGTGCAGACCATAATGATATGTAAGGCTTACATTCTCTCTGTTCTGCAACATTTGAAACATTCTCTTGTATCATTACACAATGAAAATGCTGTCTTTGAAACCATGGCCAGATGTGAGGATATCTCGTGAATGGTTTCAAGGCGAGGCTCACTAAAACTTTCAAGGACTGATTTTGTCAGTGATTGAAAAGCTTACTTTGTGAAAGATTAAGCCACCATGAATAAATATTATATTGTGCAATCAGAGAGAATAAATCCGACACACTTTCAGCAAATAGGACAAACTCTCACTAACAAAACAGAAACCCTTCATCATTATGCCCAGTTGTAGCCAAGCCTCTGGCTGCTTACTTCGACCATATAGAGTAATATGAGCCTGTCTGTACAATACGTTATGCTATGTTAAAGCTACGCTAGGCTGACCAGGCTATAGATGACTGTCAGCCGTTGGATAAATAATGCAAGCCCCCCTCTGAAACAAGTCTCTAGATGACCTACAGCTCAACTCTAGCCCAGGGGTCAAGTGTGTCCGGTGTGTGGTCAGTGCTTTGCTTTCTGTCTCCTGAATGTATGATGACATCACTTTAACATTGTGACTTTCCAAAAGCTTTAATCACATATTAAGACAAGCAAGCACTTTCATAGTCATTCATGAACATAAAGTATGATTTTATGATTTGGATCTTCCATTAATTTAGTTTGGTGAAAAATGAAGCAAGAGCTAAGACTGGATTTGTTAAAGGGCATCTCACAGTCAGCTGTATCTACTAAACATTCCAGTAAACAGCCGGTGTTGATTGTTTTTCATTCTATTTTAGTACTATTTCAATACATCTTCCCCATCAGCAGGCCTGCCGATTATGTCCTCAATTAATTGATCAGTCGTTTGGTCTATAAAATGTTGTAGGGAACAATGTCTATCACAAGCTTCCAAAGTTCTTCTTTAAATTGCTTGTTTTTTCCAGCCGACTCTGGATACGTTATGAAACAGAATTGCACATCCTCAAATTGGAGAAGCATGAAACAGAAAATATCTGCATTCGTAAGCAAAAATGATTCAAGCAAAAGTTTCTCAACCCTACTCATGAAACACGAGACTAATGCACTTTTAGTGACTTACTGATTAGTCCTCTACCTTTATACCACACCTGAACTGGCTGTTATATTTTGCTGATTTTCCACCCCTGAGAAAAGACTTGAAAGCCTGTTTTCCCAAAGTAAAAAAAAGTACTGTTTATATAACGTATAATAAAAAGTCAATATCATCACATACTGTATCTGGTCTTATCTCTCAAAGTGTCTTTAGCATTAACACAATATTTGCACTCTGACACAAGATATTTCAGATATGAAGTGTTTGAATCACTTTTCCTCCTCCAGAAATGAAGCAGTTTCTAAGCAACCGTCGCAGAAACACCCACATGAACTGGTATGAGTCCGCCTTGGACTGGGAGCAAGAGCTGGAGAGGTGTGGGGCCATGGGCTGGAGAGTCAGCTCGGTCAACGACCGCTTCGAGATGTCCACAAGGTAAATTCACGCCGGTGGTGAATAGTAACCAACACATCTTTGTGACTGTTGGATTTTTAAATGTGGTGTACTTTGTTATGTCAGTTTTCCCGAATACCCTCTCCTCAATGTTATCTTCTAACTAATAGTGTAGAAAAACATGAAATCCTGTGCCAAATTCAAGCTAGCTGTAGAACACATTTCTTTTAGGAATGTGTGAATACATCTGCCTGCATGTTCTTGACAAGAGAACTGCTCTGCTAAACATGACGGAAATTGAGAATGTCAGGCAAAGCCAAGGCTAAACTCCTATAAAAAAACACAAAGAAGACCACTCAATAAAATAAAAGTTGTGCCATTCTGAATTCAGAAAATCTCATCCTCATCTTCCATAGCTGTGATCACTCTAGGATTTATATTGTGTACTGTCAATAAAACATTCTTTCTGTTTCCTGTCAGCCTGCCTAGGTTCATCGTGGTTCCACAGAAGGTATTAGACACTGAGCTGAAGAAAAGCTTTGCTCACTTCAATGAAGGACGCATCCCTGTGAGTGCACTCAGTATTGACAAACATTCATCTACTACCACTCATTTTAAGATTGGGTCATGAATTCTGAATAAGGGGATACTCTTACAGCTTCAGTCCTATATATTTCTATAATATTTTCTATATTTCAAGGCATTTTAAATCAAATGTTCTACATTAGTATACAATTTCTGTAAATTTTATAGTTATTATTTAATGGACTTTAGACAGTATTTGTAATTCCTGTAGTTGTAACTAAAATAAACCAAGAACTAAGACACAAACTTGTAATGTAATTTGCTATAAAGGTTGGGCTGCTCACAAAACTTTAAAGGTATTAAAGGTGCTTCAGGGAGTACTCATATTATTTGGAGATCAAAAACATTTTCCAGTTCAGAACCAGCTGTGCTGCAGTATAATAAGCCACATTTGTTTAAGAAAGCTCAAACAAATATGATAAAGGTTTAAAAGATTAAGGTCTGTGCTTAATGCTTTAAAGGTCCAGTGTGTAACATTCTAGCAGCAGAAATTGAATACATATATATATATATATAGTAATAATAAATTAGAGGTTTTCATTACTGTATATCACCTGATAATAAGAATAGTTGTGTTTTAGTTACCTTAGAATGAGCTGTTTTTATCTACGCAGGGAGTGGGTCCTTTTCCACAGAGGCTGCTATTGAACCACTATGTAAGCAGCCCAGAACAGACAAACCAAACACTGGCTCTAGCTAGGGCCTTTTGTGCTTTGTGTGAGTTTTCCCGGCCATTGTAGTTTCTTCTACATGCTTGGAAGGCTGAGCTGTATTCAAATGGTTACAATCTGCAACTTCACAGCTAGAGCCCACTAAATCCTACACACTGGTTCTTTAAGAAAGATATGCTGATTTTCAAAAAACTAACGTAGTAGGAATTCTTCAAATGAGCACTTGTTCTTCCCAATTGTATGGTATGTATTATAATTGAATGATATTTCAACCGCAGTCATCTTTTAGACATGTTCTCCATTCTTATTAACATTCCTGTGGCACTAATTACAAGATGAACTCAGATGCAGTGAGTGCCTTGTGGGAACAATGTGAAGCGTGTTATTAAAGAGGGTGGAATTGTGTTTTGTGTTGCAGCGCTGGTGCTGGCGACACCCCCGAGGCAGTGATCTACTTCGAATGGCAAGCTTCCAGAACAACATCTACCACGAGAAAGACGACATCAGGTGTGTGTGTGTTTGATGTTTTCCAAATGGAAAGTGCATGTGTGCTGTGTGTTAAGATGATTTAGCTGTACTGTTAGCTGTAGTCTTATCGACAGTCTGTACTTTCCACAAGCTAATAATGGGTTTGATGTTATGCCTTAAAGCTGCCACAGGAAATGTAGAAATATAACCATTAGATCGGTCTAAATCAAAATGAAGAACTGCAACAATAAAGACCATCCCATCCCCCCTAATTACATATAAAATATCAAACAGCTATGAGTAAGTGGTCTATCTAGGAAACGTTGGAATCACCAGATTTATGTCCTCTTCCATCTTTTTCATGCTTGCAGTCTAGCTATGCAGAAAGTGTTCACAGGCAGGCAGAGTTGTCTCCATGCAGTTTAGTAGATTAGTTTCTGGCTTTAATTCAAGCTACCAGTGTGCATGTAAGTTGCAGATTACGTTAAATTGTAGCTTGTTTGCCTCACAAGCTGTTAGAGGAAGGTGATTTCTCTGATACCGAGAGAGAGAGAGAGAAAGACATGCACTGCTCTCTGCAGATGAAACACCATTGGCACTACAGTTAGCATTGGTTTATTTTAATCACCCTATAAAGAAGATGCAGTGGTGTGTGATGTGTGAACAGGAAACCAATATTTAAATTTTCACTAAAACAACAGCTGCTCACAGCATAAATATTGCACGTTGTTAAAGAGTTCAAGGCTGCCGTTTAAAAGCAGATAGAACTTGATAGAGCTGGATAGATTTTTAAAGACATTTGATTTCACACTTTCAAGTCTTTGCAGATTAAATCCACTGTTCATGAAGATATGACTTAAAAGCTGCCGGAAATATGCAAAGAAAGTTGTTTCTGCATGTCTAGCAGTGTATTAACAGCAGTTCTGTGCTGTTCTGTAGAAACCTGGAGATGATCCTGTTTGGTTGCCAGTCCTCTCTGTGTGTGGTGGTGGAGCTGGGCGAGGAGCTGCCCTCGCCTGCCGATATCCAGCTGGCACACAGCCGCCTGCGTGCCCTCTGTCTGGGAGGTGGGGATAAGACATGAATACACACGTCATCCACACGCAACAACTGAGCAAATATGTATTTACACACAGCATGAAAGGGCTAAAGCATATACTACAGAGAGTTGTGACAAATGAAGCACCCACATCGTTCATAATCACTGGTTATAAACTTCTATCATGTTAAGTCTGAAGGGTCTTTCACAGAAAATGCTTATTTATTTAATCTCGTTAAGCTCTTGTTTCTACAAAATTCCCACTTTCTTATCGCATTTAATGTTCATTTCAGAATGTACGATTACATCACTCAGAATTTTTGGGGTCTGGAACTCATGCAGTAGTAGCTCAAAACAGGCTTTGAGAGATGTTCTTTACTGTTGTTTTTGTCATGTAGGCACACACAGCACATTCCATGGTTGGGTAAACAGAGAGGAAAAAACTCAGGGTCGTCTACAACCAGTGGCCCTAGAACTGAAATGCTGATCTAACACACTCTCACCGCCTCTCTCTCTTGCTCATAAACAATGTGTAAAGGTCAACGATTATCACGGTTCACACATTTGTCAGCTTAGTGATATGTCTTTTGTGGGTGAGTGCTTCACAGCTCATAGGATTGTCCTGTAAAAACAGCCACTCAAATGTATCTGTTTGACTTACTGGCAGTGGGCTCTGAGTCTTCACAACAACTACATACAAAATGAAAATAGACTTTAGGAATTGTATTAAAGGCTAATCCCCCTGAGATTAAGTGGATTTTGCACTTAGAGTCCCATTTAAGATGTAGATGATTTATTTTGAGGAGGTAACTTGTCTTTTGGTGTGAAATGGTTGTCCAGTCTAATGTTGTGTGCTACTCTGTCAGTAACAGTAACATTGTTTAGTTGACTGTGTGAAACACTACAAAAGCACACGCAAAAGAGGAATTGAGACATTTTCAAAGTGAGCATATACAGCTTTTTCTGTACTCTTTGTGGCCTGCACATGCTTATAATTAAAACCTTTAGCAATGTGCAGCAAATAATGGAAAAGAAAAGAAGAGAAGTTTTCATCACAGTAGTTTTTCTACATATGTTGGTGTTAGTTGCTGCCCCTTATTAATAGCTTTATTTATAACTGTGTGTCCGAGATCAGTCAATAACTCATCTTAGTGTTGTGTCTGATGTTGTGTACCAGTTATACCCTTCAGGTCAGCTGATGTGCAGAGATCCACTGAACCCTTTGAGGCGTTCATGCATTTGTAGTGATGCATAATGTCTGAACATGATCTGTGTTTTGGCTTCTAGATATCTCCACATCTGTGTCAGTGCCTGATGACAAATGGTTATCTACCCTGGAAAGCACCCACTGGCTAGACTACACCAGGTAACAGCTCTGATTTGCCAGTCTGGGAATCCATATCATCCATTACAAAAAGTCATCAGATTCTTCCTACTCATGGCTTTTTTTTTTTAATAAATGTGTGCTGTCTAACTGTTCGAGGGGTTATGAGAACTATGGCTAACTATCAGGGGCAAATTTAATTCCATGAACTCAAGACTTTGTAGAACTGAAAGGAATGCTAATTTAAGTACTAGGTTTCTATTGAAATACAGCATCAAAGCTTTCAGCCTTTTGGTCACTTGGGCTCAATGTACTGTATGTTTGTTAAATGCATTATTCTTGATGGGGAAACCTCAAATAGTTGCTCCTATGTTTATTGCCTTATTTATTACTGATTTCCTGTCTAGAAGTGGAATTAGTTTTACTTAATGGTAACATCAATACATTTGTGTATGTATGCATTTTTAAAGTTTATGTAGAAAGTTCAAAAACAAGTGACATGATTTTACACAAGGAAACATGACACCTATGACAGGTTATAGCACAGCCACTGAGAAAGCAAACTTACAACATCAGTACGATAAAATAGTTTATTATGTTTCTAAGTAACTTTGTAGACATATTTGTAATGTGATCACTGTGTTTGTAACCGTAATGAGACTAATCTGATTTGATATCATCAACCTGCCTCTGTCTCCAGGTCCTGTCTGAAGAAAGCTTCAGAGGTAGCCTGCCTGCTTCGCGGCGGTCACCTGACTGTGGCACTGCAAGGTGAGTCACGTGGCCCAGACCCCGGCTCATATTATTCAATCCATTCATTATTCACGGCGCCTCCCTCTCATTAATCCCACATTAGGGCTTGCCCTGAAGTAGCGATATACCAGCAACAAGCACACTCCACTGAGTTTACATGCACACTGTCAATAGGCCTCCATACAACATGCTTTTAAAGACATGGCTGCACCTGTTGCATCTGAGAGGCGAGATAGACTCCATATGAGATGCCATTAAATTAAATTATTACTGAAGATATACATATCTACATACATAAGGTAAATGCCAAATTTAAACCTTTAACACAAAGCAAACAACACTTGTGCCTTTCATGCTAAGCTAACCCTAACACACATATTTCTCACAAGTCTGAAATATAGAGACATACAGACCCATACATATAGTATGTGCAACAGAAGTTCACTGCACTAAAGCACCAGTTAAAAAACATCCCTGGGGATGTGAAAGGTCACCTCTCTGGTGGGAAAGGAGACGTAGTTACTGGATAGGTGTCAGCAGTAGATATAGCTTGGCTCATCTCTTGGATCAAACCTCTGGATAAGGGCTGGATTTCCCCTGCCTGGGATGAGAGGCACTGAGCAGGTGTGAGGATACTCCCATGCCCTTGTCTAGGTGGCTGTGTTGGATTTTCCTCCTAAGAAAACGAGGGTCACCTCTATCGTGGAAAGAAAGATGCTGACTATGGTTTGTTGTGAAGTAGAGGTGTCAACTGATCACCACCTGGCAGTGAGTTGGATCAGGTGTCGGGGAATGCTACTGGACACACCAGGTAAACCCAAACATTCAGCGAGGGTGACCTCGGAGTGTCTGGCTGGGGAATGTCTTCAGCTTTCACCTCAGTTATTGCCAACTGATCAGCTGTGTTATTGTTGTTCTGACTAATGGCATTGCTTAAGCCAAGAAACTGAAACACTGAATTCTGTTTGCCACCCAAGTTGCACTTCTAGACGTGTCTGGCAGTGAAGGAGTAGGGAAAAAAAGGTTTATTTCAGACTTTTAATGATCTGGCCTGACTGCCTGTTGTGCATTCATAAACACCCAGAGAGACAGACCCAAGACTGTATTACTCAAACAATGACTGTTTTGGGCTAAGGATGTTTACTACATGCTGCTGGTGTTTGACTTTCTCTGCTACTCTGCAGCTGTAAGCGACTAACATCAGGGCGGCCTTTCGACTGTTTAGCTGAGATATTCATTTGTCAGTCGTGCTCTAAGTCTCCTAGTTGCGGCAGATCTGTTTCTGACTGGGTCAGCAGAAAGTATACCACTGCAGAAATGACTCACTACACTAGCCCAATAAAACTTTGTTTCTCAGTGTGCCTGTCCCTCATCTCTTGTTGTTGTGTCTGCCACTGGCTCTGTCTTTATCGCTTTTATCTACAGGTCTGTTGTATCTATTTTCTTTGTCTCTCACTCTCTCTCTCCCTCTTTCTCTTGTCAAATAGTATAAGCCCTCAAGACGAATAAAGCAGAATTAAATGGTGGTTGTAAATTAAAGCTTGTGTGTCTCTAGTGCTCTGAAATTGAAAACCATTTGAGCCCAATACACAATTGAAGTACATGCCTCTTAATGATATTGGAGTTACTCATCACATTTTACAAGAGATGTCATGCACTCATAAAGACCCAGTGATTCAGTGTTTTGAGCAATGCAGGAGGAATACGATACTCCCTACAAATGCTAACATGATTACTACAAAACATTTTTAAATGCATTCATAATAATGTGATAGCAATAGTGTACTGCATGTAATTATGTCAGTAGGTATGCATTTTGGCCACATACTATCAATCATTTAAGTGTAACATCTACATAAGCCTGAAGTTGATAGTCGAGCACTGTAAACAACAGACATCCAGCAGGTCGATATAAAATAAGTGTCAGGTAATAGCAGAATAGTTTGATGACCTTTCAGCATTTGTTCCCCTTTGTTTTGACATTCCAGAAGCGGACGACCGGGACTTGAGCTGCGTGGTGTCTAGCCTGGTGCAGGTGATGTGTGACCCCCACTGTCGAACCCAGCACGGTTTCCAGAGCCTGGTGCAGAAGGAGTGGGTGATGGCTGGCCACCGCTTCTGCAGCCGCATCAACTACCACCGTGACAATGACAAGGAGGAGGTGAGAGGTTAAGATTCACACCAAAGCTGCACTGCATTAAAGGTTAACTATGAAGCTACAGAGTTATACAGTAAGAAAGATGGAGTATAGCCGTGTCTTGTGTGTAGGCTGAACAATGAAGGCTGCAGACACTGTAGAAATATTGTTTACTTACTAACTTCCCTTCCCTCCTCTCTGTCCCTGCAGGCTCCAGTCTTCCTGCTCTTCCTGGACTGTGTTTGGCAGCTGTTGTCCCAGTATCCCTCTCGCTTCCAGCTGACAGATGACTTCCTGTTGGCCTTGCACGACAGCATCCACCTGCCACTCTTCTCCAGCTTCCTGGCCAACTGCCAGCGAGAGAGATGCAAACGCTCCCAGGTACCGGACACCTGAGAGGGGCTTTGGCATCTTCTGCATGGTTGCATTACTGAATTGGCCCAAAAGGCTGTGAAATGTATTGATTAGAATAATAATCACCCCTCTCGATTGTGTCATCTGTATAGTAGAGTATTGGACAGTGGCATTTTATTCCATTTTAAAGTCATTACATTATCATTTTCAGCGGACATATACCGTGAAGAGATTTGTGGAGTAACTGATAACAACATAAACCTTCGAAATGTATATTCTTCTCTACCCAGAACCTCGGGCAGTCCTACACACCAGTCAATGGCTGGAGAGATATGCTTCATCCGGATTCTTCCTCCGATCCATCTGACCCTCCTCTGCCACCGGTGTGGGACTGGGCCCTGCAGTACAGCAAACACAGACGGGACCGTTTCACCCAGCCTGTCCCCCCAATCCCTCCGCTCCAGCCGCTGCTCAATGGCAACCTCAACACCAACCCAGACACACACAGGGTAGGGCTACCAACTCTTTCATGGTGCAACACACCCCCTAGTGGCCATGGTGGGAGCTCTAGGTTTAACAGTGGTAGACACCATGAGAGCATCTCATGTTGCTATGTTAATGTCTTTGCAGCTTTTTACTTAAAATGGATAATTTCTGTTGTGATAGATCTTATCAACTTTGTGCAGAGACAGATGTCAGTTTGGATGCTTTCTGTTGTACTGCAAGACTCTCAACACATTGTTTTCCACGAACAATCTTTACTGAAAACTAAAGTCGGTATTAGGTCGGATTGAACATAGTTATCAGTATCAGAGAATTTGAGGGATTATTAGAGATTTTGGGGGAATTGTATAATCTCCTTACTGAGCTGACATCTATCAATCCCCTGAGTATTTGCAGCAGGCCACTGCACCCTCTTGTGGCAGTCATAAAACATGCATCCAATTCAAATTGACTCCTTGGGAACAGCTGACCGTAATGCTGTTCAAACTGTCCACTAATTTCATTGATTTATTGCTCTGCTCTGGTTAGAGCAGTGCAAATAAGAGAAATGGGGAAGTTATTCAGTTATTGACTGACAGTACATACTCTTTAAACTCTTCAAGACATTAGCTTGTTACTAAAAATATCTCACTCACAACTCAAATTTTAGGTTACTTTTGCAGGTGTCAATGACTTAAAGGTTTGACTGAGAGTATCTTCTCCTCCCACATCTGCCCACCAGCTGACTGACACCATCCCCGGATCAGTCTTCCTCCTGTCTCGAGGCACCTTCTCCTGCCCTGCTAACCTGCTTCCCTGGCGCAGCAGCAGTTCAGGCGTTTACAAGAAGAGCCACCGGCGGGCGGCGTCCTCCGAGAACGTGCCTGGCCTGGAGAGGCTACTGAAAGCTTGGGCCCTGACTGAGTTTCCCCAAAGCCTGACTTCCACCTCTGGACCTCAAGGACCACTTGACCCCTATGAGCCCTTACTGCCTCTCCTCATGGGGCCCTGCATGGGGCTGTGGAGGGAGTGCTACCTCCGGGGGGCGCTCCATGCACAGGTACATTCGTCTATAGGCATTTTGGAATACTTGTAATTTGTTGCCACCTCCAATGTGGAAAATAAGTGACACCTTGCCAGCGGCCCCATGCTGGTGGTCACAAATCAAGGTGTCTGAGGGTCCTCCCCCATAAGATTTGAGGTTCAGACACTTGCATTCTGGTGAATATTTCTGCAACAATTTAATGAATGAATACTGATAGTGAATCACTTCTTTAGACTCTCCACAAAAATGCAGGACAAAATAATCAAAGAAAATCTCCTCAATTAGAATTGTGCTGTCCATCAGGGTCACTTTTGCTAACTTTTTTGTTAGTGGTCCTTAAGGATTCCTTCTTTTGCTTAAAGAAGTTAAAACCCCCTAACGGTTCCAAAGATAAATCTGAGCAGTTTTTCTGATATTTCCCTAAACAATGTGAGACAGAAAAACACTTTGGTTGAAGTATCCACATTAAAGGCTGTGATTGTTATCTGTGATCAAACAGACATTTCTTTGTTTTAGGAGTCTCGAGCCAGAAAGGTTTGAGACTCCTGCCTTAAAGGCAGAGGCTTGTGTTATTTTATCTTTTCATCATTTGTCAAAAAGCCAGTGCCTCTGCGCCACAGAGCTTTATTGTTAGCAGCGCCTATTAAAAATATACAGAGAGCCGTACCATTAAACTGGGTGACATATTCCATATAAAACACCTCCACAGCTGCATTTTAAAGTTTTAGATGGAATTTGTTATGCTCATTCACAAATTTCCTCTCTGTTCAATGAAGATTTTTTGGAAACTTACACAGACACAACTTACTTTCAAAACATTAGAAGTGATATGGGAGGAAATATATGGATTTGGGCTCATTATTTGGTGCTGCAACAAAATCAGGAAGTGGAAGTTGAAGTGGTGAACCACACATGATTCAAAGGCCAATATGTGTATATATATATATAAAAAAATATCAGTATATCCAACCATCAGACAGGCAGCACTAATCATTGGCTGTCTAATTTAAATATTGTGGGGTCGAATGTCTAAGTATGAATGCGTCATTGGGTTTACCAAGTGGGCGACATCCAGTTTTAATAAATTTGGCCCACGATACTTCCAGAAGGCTCCACATATCTGCTGTGTTCAGCCTCGTCATGTCTTCTGTGCTGCATCCTCTCACATCGTGACGTAGTCTCTTTCATGTGCAGATTAGTCGGAGCTGTTGATCGACAACTCCCAATATGGACGTGGTACAGCCTTTGTGATGTCTGTGCAACAGCCTCGTCTATCAGTGTCCCTATGTTGATGTTAAGAATAGTCGAGGGCTGTGTGGGTGGGTGCAGTCATCTATTTTAAGGGAGCTGTAGAGGAACAAGTAAAACCTATCAAACCGCTACAACACTAATTCACTGACGAGAGATTAGGGTAAATTCTGTGCTTTTTGAAGTGTTTCCCCTACAGTTTCACACACCATTAAACTGCCCCTCCAGGCCAACACAATCTCTGTTCTTTCTTTGTTCTTAGAGGCTATCTGTTCAGTCAGAAATCACCTCTGCACAGCTCAGTTCTAAAACAAACAGCTTTCGAGAACCAATCTAACTCTTGTTTAATGTGGTTGTTGTTAAGAGTTTTGTTGCTTTTTCACAGTTGTATCAACAACTCTCATGACCAGTACAACAAAACCACTAACTACAGCATCACAAATGACTAGACACCTCTCTAATAATGTAAACAAACATATTATTGTAATGTTAAGATAAGTTGTTAGATTTGTCTGTTGGGTTACATTATAATGTACAGGTGTGCCTAATAAACTTGTTAGATTTTTAATAAGATATATCAGGATTTGGATACACAGACAATAATTGTTAATAGGATCAATTCATTGCTGTTGGTCTTTTCATGGCATATTTTTTAATGATGATGATAGTGAGAATTCTTAAGACCCCTCTGGTGAGATAAGGTTGAAAAACATGTTGCTTTGCATCTTCAGGCGTTCTCCCACCCCATCTCAGCCAACCACCCCCACCCTGTGGAGCGGCTGGCCCAGGAGGTGCAGCAGCTCAAAGAGAAGCTAGCACAAGTGTCCACCGGCACGGATCCAAACCCACCCACCAAGATGGCCGAGCCTCGGCGGACCGACACCAACCTGAACCAAAACACCAACAACGGCACCTTCCTCTTCCCAGCGCCGAGGCCTCAGAGCGCGGCGATGTCCAGAGTGGCACCCCCTCCTACCTCCACCAACCACCAGACCTCCAGGGGTCCCCCGCCCACCTCAGCCCCACCATCCAGGCCCAGTCACAAAGACAATGGCGGCAGCAACAAGCACACCTTCCTGTTTGGGCACTCTTCAGTCACAGAGGCGCGCCCTGACCAGCGCTATTACCCAGCACCAAATAACGGCAAGCTGCCTAAGAGTAACGGGCCCTCGATAGCTTCCTGAGGTTTGGTCCTCATCTTAACTGTGTCTGCGAGACAGACCATGCCACCCCGTGACCGGGTACTATAACCAAATCACCTGCTGCAGAAATGAAACTGACGTATCTCCTCACTGGTGTCCTGTACTGAGGAGATCCAGACGTGTGTTGCCTGTCACACCATTTTTGATTGACTATAAGGTGATAAAAAAAAACCATTTGGGTGGACACAGTAAACTGCAAAAGTATGAAATAATTACTGCAAGAGCTCTTGACTCTGCTACTTATCGTCTGTACTGTATTAAAAAATGTGACAACTGTTTTTGTATATTTGTAAAGAAAATCTTAGTGTTCAATATTCCACTGATGAATATGTCTAAGAGAAAAAGAATAAGGGCTGAAGATGCTTCATGATGTATGCCAACAGGACTTCAGAAGGACATCTTGCAGTATCTTGAAATGCAGTAGACACATTTTATAAAGATCGTGTCACCCTTCAAGAAAGAAATAAAGCTTGTAGTTTCCATTTTAGCCTCTCATACAAAGTGGGTTACAGTGACAGGGCAGGACATACATGGTGGTGTGATAAGGTGGTTCTTAAGGGCACTTATGGACACACACTTTCCACTGGATCTAACCAGCGACCCGTGTGACTGTCAGACTACAAGTCTCCAGAAGACCTTTTTACAAGTAGCCCTAATCTTTACTATGTCATGCAAATGTGCAAAAAAAGATACATTTCCTAGTTTTTGTATCTCCGCTTTAATTAGAAAAAGTAGAATATTGTTTTGAAAATGATCCTTTTTGAAAACCGTGATTTTTGAACTCCAGGCGCTGTGACCAGTGACTTTATGTGGAATTTAGGGCATGAGAGCTATTTTGGTACTGCTCTCATATCTCTCCACTCACTCACATGCATGCTTGGGAGCAGTGAGAGACCTATATTCAGTTCAGAGTGTGATGTGGATGTGGATAAAGTCTAAGCAGTATAATTCAGCTCCTGCATGACTGACATAATTTCAGGGCTTTTGTAATATAATTGCATCTCTCTTTAAAGTATTTATGACCATTATCGGTCAATTTGATGTCATACATGTAGATTAGTGTGATTTCTGAATTGTTTCTGACCAAATTGAGTATTATTTTGATAATTTCTCCATCAATTTTTGGAGGAATTGAAAAACACAAACATTAATCTGCCTTTTGATTGTCGTACCTTGCGAAGGTACCAGTGTTGGAAGCAAAAGGGAAGCTTATTTCTTCCCGTGTTTACTTTTAATTTTATGCCTTTTTTTCCCCCTGCGTGGTGGTGTTTTAGTATGCAGCCAGCATTTAGGTCAAGGACTTGGAAGTGTCTGACTGTATTTAAAGCACAAAGGGAAGTATCTGGTCCTGCGCCTTTAAATCCAAACAGGTTGTCGTTCGCATGATGTGGGTGTTAAGTAGATGCACTGGCGTCATTCCCACGGACGAATGAAATTTTCCATTATGTATTTAAAAAAAGCATGTTTTTCTGAAATTCTTTAGGCAGGATAACAGTTGTCAGATGTATGAAGGATGCTGACCTTCTCTCATGTCAAAAGGTACCTCACTTGATAGCACTATGAATTATTAAATTGTTGTAAATATTCATTGCATCAATATCAAGGCACATTGATATCAGCTACAATTTCAGAGCTTTCCAGATGTGATGCCAATGCATTTACTTCTCTTCCATGGAAAAAACACAAGCTCGTCTTTGTCCTGTTGCATGGAAAATCTAATTTGATCTTCTACTGCACCTGTTGTTCTGTATCATTGTGTAATGTAAGGTTTTTTGGTACGAACATCGCTTAAATTTTGCCAGATGTACATATTTTTTGTATCAGCATGTTTTGATCCTGATAAATAAAGTGTTATCAGTCCATAAACTCCCAGCTGTGTTTATAATTTGAATCTGTGCCACACACACACACAAAGAAGCAATTTCATTTTCATACACAGCTCACAAACTTTATTTTTTAACAAAATAAATATTTACATATGATCTGGAACACTTAAAAAGTAGCATGGCACTGTACAATAGATTTTAAATGTAAAATCCAACCATCTTGCATGATATTTACAGTCAGAATAAAACAATCTGAGAATCATGTGCAAAATGCTCAATACCTTCACAGGAAATGTACAAAGTAAGAACTCGTCTGACAGGAAATGTTAAATATACAAAATATCTACTGCACAGTTAACTCATGTAAAGCTCTGGTTTGGTCTCTCCAGTTTCAGACATTACGTTCAAAAGGATGAAACTCTGTTTTTATATAGACGTAGGCAGAAAACCATGCTATTAAAAATATGAAGGAGATATTTTTCTGGATCATTATGTTGTACCAACATCTTCTACAAAGAGACTTTCTTCCATATTTGTTACGATGACATGCAAGTTTTCAACCATCTACTCAGATGCATTTTGGCACTTTAAACCTATGGATATTAGTGTCATGCATTCTCACATTTCACCTGATAACCACAGACAACAGAGCAAGAGACAGTGTAAAGTAAGATGGCCATTAGTTGTAGTCCATTTCACCACTATGGCAGAGGCAGTTAAAAATCAACCAGGTCACAGCTGAAGAAAAGGTTTGAGTCCCAACATCTGAAGAGAGTCGACCTCCCTCCCATGAAAGAGCTTCAACTTTACCCCCACCGACTGCCGTGCTCCTTCCCCGTGAACTGCTGCTGCTGCAGGATGCCGCAGGGCTCGTAGAAGTACCCGGAGGAGGACGGGGCGAGGCCTCCGAGCTGGCGGATGGACTTGCACATGGGGCAGGGGTAGTCGGACAGGCCCTCGATATCTTCGAAGGCCAGGTTGACGATCTGGTCGCAGCAGGGGTCACAGTAGAGGTGTCCGCAGGAGAGGCGCTTCAGGCGGGCCTCGTAGGTGATGCAGCACTGGCAGTGGGGCATGTCGGGGCCCAGCGACAGGGAGCCGGTAAGGGAGCTGCTCTCCAAGCTGCCGGCCTGGCTGGAGCCCTGCTTGGTGGGAGACCTGAGAAGGAAGGGAACGAAAGTCAGATAAGAGATCCACACACTGTAGAGCTGAAATGATTGGTTGAAACAAAACAAAAAAACATATTTTTATAACCAATCAAACACTGGCAGATTCCAGCTTCTTAAATGTGAGAATTTTCTGATTTTCTCAGTTTTTATATCATTGTAAACAGAATATCATTGTGTTTTAGGCGGTTGGTCCATCAAAAGCAATTTAAAGATCGTATGACTGAGTGATTGTGATGGGCATTTACACTAAATGAATAAATACTTTCAACAGTAACTCTGTACTGTTAACTCTCAATACATTTTATTTAATAGAGCAACATTTACAACATGGACTGGTGGTAATTAGAGATGATAAACTGGCAAATAAATCAGCTGAATGTCAGAAATGTCAGGTCTGTTGGATGTATTTTAGAAACAGCATCTGCGTCACACAACTTCTCTTCTCTGGAGAGCAAGTACAAGTTTATTTTTCAATTTTAAAATGTTTTGCTCAGTACATCCTGGTCACAGTTCTTTAAAGAAACATGTTTACATTTAAGGAAACGGGCTTATTTGCTCTCTTGCCAAGATCTCTTGGATCAATACCACTCTCGTATCTGACCATTAAATAAGGAGCTAAAGCATATAGACTGAAAGCCGGAGAGGAAATCTGCTGGCCTAAAAACTATTAGTGAGCTTTCGAGGTGCCAGGCTTCCTGTTTCTTCCTGTTTCCAACTGACAACCCACGAGCACCCCTGGACTTTCTTTTTTTATGACTTCTGTGGTCTGTTAAAATTATATTATTTTATTGATTTACTGCTTAGTCCATAAAATGCCACAAACTATTAAAAATGCCATCAAAATGTAAGCAAGAGGTCAATGTGTAAACTGTCCAAACCCAAAATATATTGAAGTTATAAATAAATGAAAAAAAAATAAGCAAATCACTCCCCCTTGAGAAGCTGGAACAAACTAATGTTTGGCATGTTTACTGGACACATTGAAGTGATTTAAAATATATAATTTCAGCACTATTTTAGTGTAATTTTATTCCATGCTGCACTTCGTTAAAGCAGATTTAAGATCTATAGCAAATAAGCAAAACTAGGGCTGCAACTTATGATTATTTGCATTACTAATTAATATTGTTTGGTCTGTAAAGGGCCAGAACATTGTGACAAAGTCCAAGCTGATGTCAAAAACCCAAATATATTCTATTTTCAGCAAATGCTTGCATCAGAGAGGCTGGAACAAAATCATGTTTTACAACTTAGTCTGAAAAATGAAGCCAATAATTCTAAGAAACTAGCTTGCTAAGAAACACGATTCAGTTGCCCTTGACACAAATGGGAACACGCTGGGATCAGGCTTTTTACGGTGCACACTAACAACAGTTTGTTCCAGGGAAAAAAAATAACTGGTAAAACAAGACCTGAAATGATCCCAGGTAGGGTGGAGTGGAGTGATTGCTCAATAATTTAAATTGTTGAGGTGAGTCTGCTGACACTCTTCAGGCTGTAACGTTAGATTGAGACTGTATGTTCTGTGTCTGACTGAAGGTACAGTCTGTTGCTTGGGTGTTGGGAGCTCTGCCTTCCTCATTAATAGGTGCAGTGGACATATGTAATACTAGCAACTGATGTCTGAAGCCTCATTAGAAAATCAGTTTTGAGAATTCATTCAGCTTCTTCCTCTGAGCCATTTTCATTTGCTAGAAAATCGTTTATGTTAATAATCCTGGGCTGGGTTCCCAGTGGACTTTCAGATTCACTGTTTCTAAATTGTGTAACATGAACTGGCCATCAGTGGAGGCAAAGCTGGATAAAACGAGTGCAAATAAGGACTCAGAAAAAACCTGTTGTCATAACAACTGAAGTGAAGGACGATATTTCCCCGTAGTATTTAAAAATATCAAATCAATTTCTGCCTGATTCATCATTCTGCCTGTTCATCTGACATTTATTTGTTTAAAAAAATACATATAATACTGAGTGCTGGCAGTGAGGATTACACAATTAAAGATTATCCAGAGTGGTGAATTTTAAAACATACAAGCAAATATGAGAGAAAAATAAACAGGTAGAATTAAAGGAGACTGGAAAACAGCTTCACGGGTACATTATAAAGGCATTGCCACAGACGCACCGCGGGAATATGGAATGAATATCTGATGAATTTGTGCTGATATCTGATAAAATACAGCTTGATCGATCGCCACTCACCTTGACGACGATGAATCTTTAAAGCAGTCGAAGCTGAGAGCTGCGAGGATCCTCCACAGCAGGTCCATGCCGGTTCCTCTCATGGTAGCATCCAGATTTCAGCGACCTGCTTTCTGGCGAGCGTCATATTTTAGGAAACGCAACACCACTCAATCTCTGTTGTCTTTCAAATTCAGGACTAAACAACAAACACACACAAATCCTCCCTCTCCCTCTCCCTCCCACGCCACGTTTTTAAATATGCGAATGAAAAGGATGTACCATCATCATCATCATCACCATCATCACCCGCAGGCATGTGAGAGGACGTAAACAAAGCGCCACTTTCATTTCGTGCCTTCGTCTGTGCGTGTTTGAGTCGCTTTCGATGGTTTCTCCCGTCTTGTCTCTCCTCCTCCTCCTCCTCTTCCTCTACAGCAGCAGCACGAAGCGGACGCAGGGCGGCGCTGCTGAGGTGTTTCATTTGCATCAATCAGAGAGAGAGAGACAACCAATGAGCTCAAAGTGGAGCAGGAGACTGAAATGGCCTCAAAATACTGATGAGGTTTGGAAATAAAGAGATCATGTCGCCCCAGACTAGTGTGTTTATAGGCATCATAATAATCCCACCAACACCTCTGGATTTGGATCCTGTGTGCAGGGAAATTGTTTAATGTATGGACAGTGTATCACAGTTTCTTTATCATGATGTGTCAGTATAATGTGTACTATTTCTTTGTATTATTTATTTTCCTTAAAACATTTATATTAAAAATATACTTCTCCTACTCTGTGTAGTAGTAGAAGTGTGCGTATGTTTAAAAAAGGAATATCTTATTCTTCGGTCATTCAAATATCATTGTTTTTGTCCTATAGATTTTGTCCTATAAATATTAAAATATTTTCTGTGCATTAAATTTCTTCTTCTTTCTTGCATTAATAAAACATTTTGCTGCAGGACATCAGTGCGTTTCAAAGGATAGTTATTTTGGATAGTTTTGTGAAATACTGGTGATGGAAAATTTTTTAAAGCTAGTCTTTAAATCAGTGTTGAGAAGTAGGAGTTCTTCAGGTGGACTGAATGTTTCAGCAATGACATTTTTACTCTAAGCATCACCTGAAGTAACCACCAGATGGCGACAAGAATTTGCCCTAAAACCAAACCAAAAAATCCTGTCATTAACCATTTTCATAGCTGGAGACAATAGCTATATAACATTAATAATACTATAAGATATTTAAGCTATACCAACACACTATATAACACAGTATATCATACAGTAAGCTCCCATAAGAATAATATCACTGTTTGTCAGAGATTGTATTGACATTAAAATCATGTTGCATCCTGGTTAATACAGAGAGATTGAGAGGTTAGTTAGGTAGACAATCTTAATTGAGCTTCTCAACACATATACCTGTGCAGTTTTATTTAAAGCCTCTGTTTTCTACTGCACTTCATTACAGCATTTACAGCTGTAGATAAGAGTTGGCAGAGGCACACCATAAAACCGGCCCTGACTGCGTTATTGAGTCCAGGAAATTTGATCCTGTCTGAAAATCCAATTGTATGTCAACCAGGCGTGACCTTGCTTTTTGTTAATGCAGGTAAAGAGAAGACACATTTAAAAAACAATTAGAGTCAACAGCTGCAGACACACACACATACACACACACAAACTGTAGA